CCACTCAACTCCCCACTTCCACAGCCAGTTCCTCCTTTCCTTTATTTTTTACATTCTGTAGGAGTAGCATAAAATATTTCATTTTTGCATTTTCTCTTGTTTTCATTTGCAAATCTCAAAACCCAGAGTCAAGGCAGATTCTTTGGGTATTCATAATTTAGCTTTGTGCTGGAATTCAAGAATTTTCTGAAGCTAGTTTAATTTCTCTCTATGGTTTGGAAAAACAAAAACCATTTGTGGTTATATAGAGAGTTTTAGTGGGCACACAGGTGGTAGTGCTGACTCTAAGTACTTTAAGAAGGTCTCCTGTGCTGGGGTAGGACATGCTACAGCTTCCTATCCCTGAGCTCCGTTTAGCGAAGACTCAGGAAAACACTAGCGACATGGAATGCAAAACAAACAAATAAACAAACAAAAATCAACTTGAAGAGAGGTTTCTTGAAATGGGCCTAGTGGGGAAAATCTGGGCCCTAAATGGGTCTCAGAGATCCCCATGAGCTACTTACAGCCGGAGAAGAGGGGGTTCAGTACCTGCTGCCCAGAAGGCTGTCCCCAAACAGGAACAAACCAAAACAGCAGAAGCTATGGCCCCATCTCAGGAAACCTCAAACACTGACATTTTGGGATCAACCTAGATTCCCCAATATTAGAAGGAAAACCTTTAAAACCATTTTTTAGGAGTTCTAGCAAGCTCTCTCATCTACATTTTAACTATTAATGCAGTCTGGTTAGAGGATAAAAGCTTGGGCCCTGGGGACAGATCACTTCAGCTCAAATCACCTTGAGCCAACCGCCTAACCTCTCCAAGCCTTGGGATTTCTCATTGATAAAGTGGGGGTGGACACAGTATTGACTCATAAGGATTACAGGTTAACACATTCAGACTGTGGTTCTAACCCTGGTGAATAATAAGAGCTCAGTAATGGTAGCTATTATTACCCCTCTCCCACTGCCTTCTTATCTTTTAAGCTTACAAGAAAGGTTAATGGGCATGCCAAAAGTCACAAATTTCAAATTTCATGCCTATTCCCTTAGTACTTATTTTATCACCTGGAAAAGCTCAAACTATTCCCTCTGCCCTTGGGGTGAGGACAATAGTCTATATGGCACATAGTCTGCTAAAGACATGCAAACCACACCATGGGTGAGACTGCAATCTGGAAAGAGACAGGATATCCTAGAACTGCATGCCCTGGGCAACAGAAGCAACTGAATCCTTAAAGCTGAGCTCAGACTGGGCATATTTTTCAGCTGATTTCAGGGCAGACACTGACAAGAAAAAATTGCATGCAATGATGTTTACAGAGGAAGTAAAATGGGGAAATGGCCGGACGGGGGTGGGAAGAGTGACAGCATAACATGCCCGTGAGGTCCACCTGCTGATAATAAACTTAACAGAAGACAGGAACTTTTCAGGTCCAAATTCCTTCAATATCTCTAAAAGGTTCCAAAAGGGCCTTAAGAATAGAGGAGAGCATTTCCGTGGGTCATCACCATGACCTTACCTTTGGAGGACGCGTCAGCTGTCTTCCTTGGACAAAGTGCATCTTTAAAGACCCTTCAAATGTGATCCCATAGCTCAGCTCAAGTTCAAAATGATGTTCCCACACAACAGAACGCGATACAGCTATTTTAAAATATTGTTTACCGAGGATTTGCAGTCATGTTTTAATATAAGCCTCTTTCCTCATTAACTAAAGAAAAGAAGGAGGCAAAATTGGATAGAGTCTGACCTCAACTATGTAAAAAAAGAACCCAAACTGCTGACAGTGGTTGCATTGACATGATGCAATTAAGGACTATTTTGTCTTTGCCTTCTCTTAGCCCCCACTACCCCACATCTCTACATAAGCCTTTCACAAGCAGGAAGAATTATTTCAATCGCATGAGGTTGAAAATGGCATCAAATTATATTAAAACTCCATGAGGTTTGTAGAGATTTAAGGAGGCAAGTTTGTATTAGTGGTGGCAACACACACACACACACACACACACACACACACACACACACCACTGGCTTCTGAGTCTCCTGCCTCTCATCCAGCCAGGCAGATACTACTGTGCCTGGTGCATGTCAAAATGTTGTCGCCTCTTGATCACTTGGAAACTGATGACTCAGGCTGCGGGGAATCCAAACCCTCTTTCTTCTTCTCTTCCTCCTCCTCCCCCTGTCTGCACTGGGCTGGGTTTTGTTTTATGCCTTTCATTAGTACCTCCACGCTGTGGCTTAGAAGCCAAGCTTGTGTCTAACTATGTTTGTCTTTTCTAACAGTTCTAGTGACAAGTCTGGCAAGGGAGAAGCGTACAGCTTTTGAGTAAAGGGAGGTGGGGATTCTTTATGGATCCCAAGTCATCTGGGCAAATCTTGGTCTTTAAGTTTTTGGATAATTTCAGAGGCTGCCTCGAAGGAGTCACACAGGGATTGAGGGATAAGGAGAGAGTCTGGGCTGGCCTAGGGATCCTGAGAGCCAAGCAGCTCACATTCACCCCTTACCATCCCCTTCTGAGAAAAGGACCTGTGTCCTAGGACCTGTGTCCTCTCAGGGGGCAGGGATGGAGTGTCATTTTCAAGAAGGGTCTATGTCTGTGAACTCTGAGATTCTTCACTGAGCTTCTAGAAATGCTGACTTGACCCTCAAGGCACACTTGATCCCAGAGGCCCCAGGACAAGTAGCTGGGCCTGGAAAAAAGGGTACAAAGTCCATGTAGTCTGAACCACATCTGTGCCGACTCTGAAGTGCAGGTTCAAATCCTTGTTCTGCCCCTGTATGGCCTTGGGCCAATCACTCAGCCTCCTGGGAAACATGATTCCCTCATCTCAAAAAGAAGAGCAGACTTACATCATAGAGTTGTGGAAAGAGCTAAACTAGTGAGTTGATGTAGCATACTTTGTCATATAACCATCTCTGTACAAATGTCAGTCACAAAACAAATAGAAAAAAAATCTAACCTGCCCAGAACCCCCAAAATGAGATCATAGACATGATTTCTGAAGGAGCAACCCACTCAGATCCTGAGAGCATCAAGAGTCCATTCACTACTTCCGCACAGCCGAGTGAGGCCCAGATGGGTCCTACCCTCTGGTGCCCCGTCCCCCACCCCAGCTGGGCTGAAACTCAGCCAGCTGCACATAAACAGCCGTGGGGAACCCACAGGACCTGGGGAACCAGGCCTTCCCATAGGACCTTATTTATAGCCAAGTGTTCCTTAACCTTCAGTTCGCCATGTAACAGTCTGGTTGTCTCAGCTTGGGGGAAACAGTGTTCTTGTCAAAACACTTGTCAAAAATATCCCAAATTGGGAGGGATAATTGAAGGGGTGGGCCAGAAAAGAGGGATGGGAGTTTCTTGGGCCAAACTAATGGGTCCAATGAGCCTGACCAAGGTCTCGTGGATCAGGTGTCACTAAGAGACGAGGGACGAGTATGAAATGATTAATGAGTATTTACCTTGCCATAGGAAATGAACCTAACACAGCAGGAAAGATAATCAATGTATATTTTAAAAGAATGTGTACACAAACAAACTCCCTCCCATATGTTACTGGGATTCCTCCAAAAGAAACAGATTAAATCAAATGCCTACCAGGCACTCGGCACCATACCAGGCTGTGGGGAACCTATGGCCTCCTTCTCAGAGAACCTCAAGTTGGGAAAGGCAAAGGGCAAGGCAAGATACAGCCGGAGCACAAAGAAATGCCACACATGTGACCAGTACTGCAGGACAAAGGGGAGGACAAAATGCCTCAAAGCTTAGACCTCATGAAAGAGGAGGTGGGGTTTGAACTGAGCCAAAACATAAATACAGAGGATGCAGGAAAGCAGAGGGGGAAAAAGAAAGAAAGAAAACATTTCCAGGCTGAGGAGACAGTGTGATCCAAAGTGTGGAAATGGAACTACTCAATATACATTTGGAAAACAGCAAGTAAATAGGTTTGGCTAGATTGGAGATATGTATGCAGAAGACAGAATTAGAGTCTGTGGGGTGGGGGTGGGGGAAGGAAAGTGATTTTCTAGGTTGTCTAGAAATAGGGGAGAAGAAATGGAGGTTCAGAGAGGGCAAGTGAGTCACCTGAAATCACAATAAGTAGAACAGGTTGAGAATACAGATGTGTTGGTATTTCTCTGAGCTGAGAGTCAATTGACTGGCTGCAGAGAAGTCAAGGATTGTCATCTGTAAAGTGACAGAAACATCCTGTCCCCAGCCATGATTGTGGCTGAAGGCCACAGGACCTGTGTAGTGAAAGCCTGCTGGTGACACTGACAAGATGATCACTAAATAATTTCCAATGAGTCATTTGGCAGTTTGGCCTGTTTTTTTTCCTTCTCCCCATTTTCCTTTCCTGAAATGAGTACAAATCTCAACTGGGCTGGGGTATATCCATACAGTGGGGGAAAATAGCACTAGGAGATGAAAGTCAAGGGGAGTCTCTAAGTTTTCAGATCTCTGACCTCTCCGTGGTGTGCAGGTACAAAGGGCAAAAAACAAGCACCCCCCCCCATGGCTAGTGAGTGGGCTGGAGGGAAGGAACACCTGTTTCTTCTTCTTTTCAAGCCCTATAATCACTCATCCCTTTGAAGTTGTGAGAGATCGGGTGCTTTGTACATTTCCTGGGCAAAGGAGAGCGAATGGAAAGGCTAAATGTCTCAAGAAGGTGCGGCAGGGATGGGGTAGAGGCTAGGGAACCCCCCCCATTCACCTCACCCAGCAGCTAAGACTAAAGAAGGGGGGACATATCATGGCACATTCCCAGGGAGCAAGCTGGCTGGTGCTTTCTTGCATGCTGGGGGAAGGGGAGACAGAAGGGCCAGCAGTTATTATATTCAAATCTCCACAGTTCCTTCCTGTCCATTTCTGGGTGTGTGTGTGAAGGGGGGGGTCTCTAAAGCATTCATAAAACAACTGATGCACAACATAGGAGTATTAGGAAAAAATAAAATAAGCACAAAAGCAATCACTAGTAATATAAGACATTTGAAGAAGGCACAGGAAAAAACCAACCTTAAGTAACTGGCCATCTCCTGTCCCCAAGAAGAAAACAGTCTTGTTCATTACCACGGTGCCATAAACGGATGTCAGGTCAGAATGGATCAAGGTAGACGTTGCAATTGGCTGCACTCTTTCAGGTTGCTCCCCTTCTTTCTGAACATGCACACACATGTACAAATAAAAACAAGAAGATCATTTTTAACAGTGATACTTCTCCTGATGCTGATAATATATAATGCACAATCTCTTAGGAAGGGTCGGTCCCACACTTCTGAACAACAAATACAATGTTCTTCTTCCAGATCCTCAGGAACAACTTTCCTTTTTCCCATCGACTACCATGCTTGCCTAGCCCACCCAGCTTGAAGTGTTTCCTGTATATTAATACATAGAGCAGTAAGCCGGCCATCCTTTCAACATTCCCCATGGCTGGTGTAGAAGGTGCTTCTGGCCAAGAGGTAGCCCACTTCAGAACTGGGAGAGAGCTGATCTTACACTTGGCTGTTTGCAGGGTCCTCCTGCAGTTCGTTTTATTAGGCATTGGGTTTTGTGACGTTAAACACAGACATTTCCCAAGATGTGACTCAGATATTCCTATTGGGTGGGGTAGACAAAAAGGAGAGGTTCTGGATCGATAGGACATGATTCTGGTGAAACCTCAAGGCAGAGTAACTGCTCCAGACGGCAAAGAGGCAGACACAGGCATGGATGGTGGATAAGAACCAGAGACAGGGCTAGTAAGGAACTAAACAGAAGGGGTAACCCCCCAGCTGATGTTTTGCAGAAGGCAATGAAAAAGTCTAACTCCCAGTCCAAATGCATTTAAATTGTATGAGGCTTTGAGCACATGGGATCACGTGCTTGCTCTTGATCATTAAATATAGCCCCTCTCGGAACCCAGAGCGGAGAGTGTCGACCAAAAGTTCTCCTTTTTTTGTTGTTTAAAAGGAATGAAGTACCCTGTGCCCTGCTTCCTGCCTCCAACGACAGGAAACCAAGTTTGCTACACAAATTTCTGGAAGATAGGGAGCTACGGTTGCCTTCTGCAGCTATGAGCACGGCGTGATAGAAGACTTTATCTGCCAGAGCGGGCTTCCCCGCTGCACTGAGGTTTGAAAAGGCACATTTAAGTGTCCTCCAGTGGTGAACTGGCAAACTTGAGTAAACAACATAGCTACTCTTGAAATGGCTCTGTTTGGGGAGGTGGGCAAAGAAAGAGGTTGAGACTTATTAACTTCACTATGTTATTGTTGACAGTGTTTATGTCTTTCAATTTATGTCTGATTAAATATGCATTATTTTGAAACCCACCAAGTTTCATTAACATCTCAACCAAATGGATTCATGGACAAAATTGATTTCTGAAGCCTTTAAAAATGCCATCTATATTTCTCTGTTGAAGTTGTACTGGAAGGGACTGATAAGCGAAGGAAGGGTTGCTCTAATGCCTAGATCGCTTTCCAAGGAAAAGATGCCATAACCTAAGAGAAAAATGACTCATTTGCATAAAATATTCTATAGTAAACTCGTTTCAGGAAGATTTTTTGGGAAGTGCATAAGAGGGTTTTATTTCCCACTTTCCTGTGAAAATACAATACTTCCCAAGCAATCTAAAAAGATGAGACGATGTCCCATTAACAATGAAAGTTAAGAAAAAAAATTGTCTGTGGGCCTAAGGATTGGAATAATAGATTACTGTTTAGATAAGGAGCCCTTGTGACTATGAACAACAGAAGAAAAATCGGATGACCTTTATACTAAAAAAAAAAAAAAAACACATCACACATCTTGCTTAAAAATAAAGCTAGAATTGTTCAAATGTAAGATCAGCTGACCATGCCTCTTATTTTTATTAAATATTCGGGCATAACAGAGAGGCCAACTCAGAGAACTGGGCATCATCTCTGGGCTACTAGAATGTTCTTTGGCTGGGGGACTCCCCTTTCTATCATCTCACAAACACAGAAAGAGTAAAGGGTTGTTGGTTGTGGATTGTGGAATATCCACAAGGACCACACAAAGCTGGACCAAGTAAGTTTCCCAGGTCTGGTACACAGTAGGCATTTAAAAATAGTACTGTATTCTAGTGAGCCAAGAACAATACCATAGAACAATCACAGGTGAGCCTTGCAGAGATGGGAATGACATATCCTGTTTGAGTTAAACTGGCTCCACATCACCAAAATGCAGCCCAAACACTAAAAGGGAAAAGGGGAAAACTAGTCCCAAATTAGCAGCCCCCCAGTTCTAGTATCCTTCCCCTGACTTCTGACTGTGCACCTGAACCTTTCCAAACTGAGTCTTAGAGCAGCAACACAAGTTAGTAGGACAGTCATTCAGCCAGGATTCTCACACTAGATAAGAGTGTCCACGCAGATCAAATGGCCCAGATAACTGATCTGCCTTTGAGCTGGGTTCTCAATCACTTAGTTAATCCTGTAGGGGTTAGCTTCTTAGCTGTTTGTGAAGCTCAAGTGTCTCCCTTATTGGTAAGATAGTCATGAAGAAGAAATAAGTGGTGATAGTAGTTACAGTAATAATTCCAGCCAGCAAGTATCAGTCCTCACCATGAGCTACTCAGAATCTTTCATCATTTTCATTGACAGAGGCTGTGTAAGGCAGTGAGTGTAGACCTGTGTTTGAATCCTAGCCCTGGCACTTTTTTAGCTAAGTAATCTTAAGCATATTAGTAAACCTGTTAGTTGCTCAGTTTCTTACTCCATAAAATGGAAGAGGTGATAGTAACATTTCTTCCAAGCATTTGAGAACTAGATGTGTTAGTCCACAACTTTAATAAAGCTTAGAAGAGTAGCTGGCATCCAGAACCACACAGTACACCTTTGCCACTGCTACCTTATTTTAAAATACAAACAGAGCCGGGCACTGGTGGCTTTTAGCTCACACCTATAATCCCTAGCTACTCAGGAGGCTGAGATGTGAGGATCAAGCTTCCAAAAAAAGAGCCAAGCTCTGAGGAAGCCATGTTTGGCCCAAGCCAATGTGTCACTCCATTCCCCATTGCCAAATACTCTTTTCCTGTCCCACAGAAGTAAGGGTATCCAGGTGTCTGAGTGCAGGCTAGTGATATGTCCACTGCAGAGATTTTTTTGGAAGTGAGTTTCCACTCTGATAAGACAAGGCCCTTGAGAAGAGCTCATTGCCTACTCCTTTCCTTCCTCCCTTGGGAAGTTATCATGTACAGCCTGGGGGCAGCCATTTTGCAGCCATGAAATTCAAGATGGAGGATGAAACCAAGTTCACTAAGACTGCATAGAAACTAAGACATCAGGTTCTTGATACTACTGAGCTACAGGCCTCCAGTCTTCACAATTTTTATTACATTAACAATGGATGTCACGATTTAGTGATTGGGTTTTCTGTTACTTGGAATCAAAAAGTAAGTCCCTGTTTTAGAAATGAGAATCATGATCGTCAGTCCAGGCACTGGCCCAGCCATGAGGACTCGAGCCATGGTCAGGATTTTGTATCCAATGAAGGGAGCCTGGAAGAAAATAGGAAAGAGAGGCGCTTGGACCCTGTGAAAACCCTAGGGGCTGCTCTGGCTGAATGGAAATGGATTCTTTTGTGCTAGAAACACACAGAAATGGACAGGTCTCTGTGAATGGAAAATGGAGCCCTCTGAATGGCTTTCTTATGTTCATTTGAGCAAATGAAAACAAAAGAAAAACAGGCTGTGGAGAAACCTTCTCAGAAAAGTGAAGTTAATACCTAGGGACCCAAATAGAAAAAAAGGGGAGAAATTGTGCAGTTGGCCCCCCGTGTCCAGAAATTATTCCTCCACTTTTTCCCCCCTCTGGCCTATTTCTATCTTGCCCTTCTCTCCCCTTAGGGCATAACCACTCATATTGCCCTCAGCTTATTCTGTCTAGTTTATTATGTGTAATTTATTTCTAAACCCTAGCCTCTGCTTGTTCGTCTGGGTGTAACAAGGTTAATGTCGTGTAATGATGCTTTTGCCAGTTCTGCCTTTCATAACAAAATCCAATCTTGAGTTAGCTCTAAGTCTGGTCTCCTCTTTGGGCTCTCTTGGTTCCTTTAGACTTTTCACTCCATTTCTCCTTCCTGCCATGTCTCACTGTCAACACACGCCTACACTTTAGCCACTCTCAGAGGAAACTTTTGGCAGATGAAAAAAAAAAAGTACCCTTGTTTCAACTGATGTTAGGATAGAGTTTTGGGTCCAGTGTAGCAAACTGGATGCAAAGTACTGAGAAGGGGTCTATGAAGAGGAGTATGGATGTGGGCGGAGGTTAAGTATGTGCATGAGTAGGTGTGTGCATGTGTGCATACACATATGTGCATACGTGTGTGAGTAAATACATGTACACTCATGTACACAGGGAGTGGTGGGCAGATCATGAGGAAAATGTCTTGATTTCCTTGCAGCCTCTTCATACTATTTTTCACTGACAATAAACACACTCATTGTGCCCTGCGTAACTCCAGGAGGAGTCATAAGATCTGGGGTGTGAAAGGCACTCTTTGGTATTGAGCCCTGACCCTGGGAAGGTGGCCTAACCTGAGGAGATTCAGGCCAGGGACTCACGGGGGTGAGGATTCAAAACCTCCAGGAAATGTGTACCCCAAGACCTCCAGTATGGGGGAGACCCAGCAACAGTGAAGCCTTTTACCCACATAGTGCTTGGTTTTTGTTCTCAGGTAAGGGATGCAGCTGGATGCTTTTAACACCTTATACATTGATTTAAAAAAAAAACCCTTCCTGCGTACTTAACTTGATGTTGATGTTGTATTCCTATGGGCTGCCCTTATTTCTCAACAGTTTCTCCTTCCTTTCCTTTTTCTTTTTACCCAGGGGCCTGATTTCCATCAGCAAGTTTAGTCCCTGAAATAACTGTAAAATAGACACAGTCATACCACGTACCCTGCCTAGCCACACTGTCGTGAGACCCAACCAAAGTCACAAGTGTGAAAATAATCGAAGCATCACCTTCTTCAAGCTGAGATGAGAAGTCACTATGGTCACTATCCCAAGCGAGACAGGGCCTTTATTAAGGTACTGTGGTTTTTCTTTGTTCTCCTGGAATAGACAGCACTGATTGGGTTCTGACCATGTTTATATAACATCTCTTGTGACCAAAATTTATACTGGGGATTCAAATGATCCAAAGGTG